GTTGCTTCTCTCTGTTTTCTATCATTGTAAATTGAATATATTTGAATGTTTTTCAGACAAAACAAGATCCTCGAAGCAGTTTTTCAGTTAATAATAAATCAATAATGATGTAACGCTTTTACTTTAACCCTCATATTTAGCATTTATAAGCACATATCACTTAATAAATGCAACACATGTAGGTGTATGCAGTTATAAAGTGTTTCTTTTCAGTATTTGTCAACAACTGTAACCTCTCCTATGACATAATTTATATTATCACAACTGTGTTTGACTATATTTTTTTACTTTATTTTGCGTTTACACAGCAACCTCGCTCTGTCTACTTAAAAGTGCATTATATTGTGTAATAAACCACCTATTAAATGTTGATATGCTGCTTATAAATGCTAAACAAGTACTAGCAATTATGAATATAATCGTAGTCTTAATGGGTCCCGGTTGACTTTGCTCCAAGCAGCAGTATAAATCAGAGCAGCTGGTGAGGCAAGGCTGTGAGCCAAGTGTGAAGGTTGATGCTTTGACTCGCAGGTCTCACAGCGTTTAAAGTCTGTATGTTGCCTTAATCCTAAAAAATGTGAACACAGCTCTGACTCCTGGAGAGCAAAAACTGAATTTGAGTCCCCCAGTTTAACAGACTGACCACTGTCTGTTGTCTGGCTTTGAGTTCCCCGTGGAGGCAGTGGAGACAGAAGACACTCCAATTCTTTAAAACAACAACAACGACCCTATTATATCCAAAATGTTAAGCTTTTAAGGATGAACTTATTCAGACTGTCCTCTCCCTCTTGTCTTTGTATGTGTGTGTGTTAGCAGGCATTAAGCATGAACTTCAGTTGTGTGTGTGTGTGTTCATAAGACAAAGTGTGTTTGGGGCCTTTGTCTCTGGACATGGCTGCTGTTGTTAGACCGTCCCTCTTGGCACATGACACATGACTCATGGTGTGTGTGTGATAGACAGAGTGTGTGTGTGTGTGTGTGTGTGTGTGTGTGTGTGTGTGTGTGTGTGTGTGTGTGTGTGTGTGTGTGTGTGTGTGTGTGTGTGTGTGTGTGTTGGGGGGGTGGAGGGGGCTTTTGTTTTGTTTTGTTTTTTCCTGGCGCAGAGGTCAGACAGCGAGCAGAGGGCGTCCCTGCCTACAATCTGGACCTGCTGTGTATGCCTGTCCTCCGTCTGCTTCATTTCTAATACGAGCTCATCGAAGTTTACACTACGGCTGCTAATATAAATCATAGTCATAATACATTTCATTCACAGTGTTTGTCCAAGAAAAACTTTTTTAGAAAGAAGTTTATTCTTTAAATCAGAATGATATGCAACCTCGGCCTTCTGCCTTCCCGTGCTATTTACTGATTCAGAGCCAGTTGTTGAATCATATTGAAGAAAGTGAAAATGAAAGAGGCAGAGGAGAGGTCAATGGTGGGTGAGCTGAGTGAAGAATACACAATAACCTCCAGGAGATTTAATAAAACTCGTGGAAATATTTCAGAAATTTCGAGGTCCCCATGTTTCTTTATCTGCCTGTCCTCGGATGAGGAAAAGAAATGACCCCCAAAATTAGTGTCACTCAGTGGGCGTCTGTCCGATTATTTTCTTTTTTATAAAGCACCTCTCTCTGGTTTTGACCAGGGATGATTCAGCCCTCATCTCTCTATATACTGAATACTTCTTCTTTTTATCTCCCAGCTATACATAAAGTATACAGCCAACTATGTGAACAGTGCTCTTAGAGAAAGTTTTTCGTCTACATAAAGGCAACGCTTTTAATTTACCACTCTATGAATGTTTCAACCCTCACCTATGGCCATGAGCTTTGGGTTGTGAGAGCGAGATCGCAGATGCAAGCAAATGAGTTTCCTTCTGTAGCGTGGTCGGGCTCAGCTTTAGAGATAGGATGAGGAGCTTGGACATCCAGAGGGAGCTCGGAGTAGAGCTGCTGCTCCTTCCCTTCGAAGCCAGTTGAGGTGGTCTGGGCTCCTGATCGGGATCCTCCTGAGCGCCTTCCTTTGGAGGTTTTCCAGGCATGTCCAACTGGGAGGACACCCCAGGGTTTAGACCCAGAACTTGCTGGAGGAATTGTATATCTCATCTGGCCTGGGATCGTCTTGGGATTTTTCAGGAGGAACAGGAGGGCGTTGCTGGGGGATGGGACGTCGGGAGTGCCCAGTTTGACCTGCTGCCACCTGGATCTGACCCGAGATAAACAGATGATAATGGATAATGGAAATGCACAACATAAACAAAAATAACTTCAAACCTAGTTGGCTTTTGTTTTAGTCCACATACAGAACTGTTGACTTAAAGCTCCAGTGTGTAACATTTAGTAGCATCTATTGGATCATTGGACATTTTTATATACAGAGGGAGCAGGTCCTCTTCTACAGAGTCCGCCATGTTGAACCACCATGTTTCTACAGTGGCCCGACGGACAAATGGGCTTTTTCACAGCCACTGTAGTTTTAATGGATATATGAGTATGACTGCTGATTGGTTATGGCATTATAACAACCCTTCCTCAAGGAGAAAATGGCTAAAAATGAGCATGATGTCGGACTGAATAATAAAGTTAAATACTTGTAACAGTTCAGGGTGATTATCAGATTATGAGCTAATGCAGCGCTTCTGCAGTTATGAGATTACATTAAAGTCTAAATTGTCTTTGCCTCGTCTCAAACGGAGCTTTGAACCTGAGAAGTAAGACATTTTTAAGTGGAGCTCGAAAGCCCTGCTTTTTTTCGCTCCTTTTATTTAAACTACTGTTGGATTGATATTAGTTTCCCCATCATCTAAAGGACATAAATCCGGCTGATAGAAGCCTCAAAAGTAAACAAGAAGGACTGGATTTTTGGATTGTCACTTCCTCTCAAATTTACTTTAAATCCTTTGGGTTATTTAGACCACCGTTTCCTTGTATTCTTCATGTCATCTTCAGTGTGTTTTGGGATTTAAAAATTCATTTTTTTGTTATCATAATAACATAACTGCTTTATAATTGTAAAGCGAGCGGTGTGGTCGGCCCCTAAAGCCCAGATGATGAATATTTATTGTCTTTTACGGTTTTCAAGCTACTTCCTGGTGATGGAAGGAAACATTGTGTCGACTGATGCTTCGCCATCTGGATGTTTAGATGTTGGATGTTAGATGCTACGACATATGGACACACACTCACACACACACATACACATACACACACATACACACACACACACACAGGAGTCGGCTCTGCTATCCAGAAGCATATGGTTCTTTGAGATAGAGTGGAGACAGACTGGGCCATTCTGTTGGATAGCACCGAGGGCCTCAACATTGTTAGAAGTGCTGCCAAACTAACTTCACCACACACACACACACACACACACACACACACACACACACACACAGTCTCGCCTCACTTGCTGCTTTGCTATTTGTTTCAATGACAAGTGAAAGCCGGCATTCATTTGTGTTTCTGCAGGAGAGTCTCAGTGTAACAGTGTGAAATGAAAATTAAGATACCTGTGAACTGGAGGCTTATTCAGCAACATTTGGGCCCACGGTTGGTCTTTGTTCATTACACACTCACAGTGTCAGTAGCTTTTTGTCTGTTTCGTTGTCTCATTACGAAGATTACCCCCCCAAATTGATTTTTCCTTTATCTTCTCAGTTAAAAAGTCCCTTTTATTTTAGAGCCTGGCGAGCCTATAAGCATTAATGTTATCGTTATGAGAGAAAAACTGAGGCTCTCTTCTCGTATTATCACAAATTAAAATGTCTTTAGTTTAATTCAGGCCCTGATGAAGGGTTCTATTTAAACTCAGGCAGAGCTCCAGCTTTTTGTTATTATTCCAGGCAGTAATATGCTTTTCTCTCTGATAGATAATACAAGATTTCTGGCAGTTTCTGTGAATTGATTGCGTTTAATTAACATTGCCATCGCTTTGATCCATAGGCTTTTCTATAGCAAGTTTAATTTCAGCGCAATCGACTTTGCGCCAGTATTCATACCATCACCTCCAGTGGTTGTGTGGGTTAAGATTATTTGAAAGTACTACCTCTCAAATATATATGATCCCTATCTTAATGGAGCGCTGGTACGGAAGTACTTTGATCCAGATGCTGATGGGACATTTTATTTTCTACTTTCTACTTTCTACTTCTACACATACAGTGTGAGCACTCAGGTTGTTGCATTGATGTTTTTAATATAGATTTCTCAACTAAAGTAATAATCAGAAAACAACATTTCATATGAATTAATAATGAAACTTAAAGTATACTATGCTACAATATACTGTTAAAAACAAAAGAATAGATTATTTTAATAGCTGATGAAACGAAAAGTCTCCTTTGCATTGTTGTAAATACTTACTGTATTTGGTATTGCCTAAATATCCCTTTAAATCGCTTCACCACATTTTAAAATCCAAAAGCAGTCAACGTTTTTATAGACGCCTCATTAATCATCATGTTTTTACTGCCAGAGTCCTTATTGGTTTATTGTCCTTTGGAGACCCACCCTGTTACCACCGCTGTAACAACAGCGTCAACTCCAGAGCTCAACTTTATTACTTGTTTGTGACAAGTTTAACCACCTTCACTTCTCTAAAAATAGCAGCACAGTAAACTTCCAGGACTGTGGGAAAAATGTAAGATTACAAGAGCAGATGGACTAAAAACTATTCAAATGTAAAAAGCAAGCCAGGGTAAAATGCAGTCGTAATTTTTTCTTTTTGAGGAACATTTGAGGAAAAGTTTGGATTGTTTCTGTTAAACTCCTCAGGTGGAGGCTACAAATAGAAACCTGCATTTTTTTTGCCTTCACCGAAACGTGATGCGGTCCCCCTTCGGACTAATGGGTAACAAATATGTCGCCTGGTTTTGACCTGTAATTCGAGTGTGACCCTCGGGGCAGTCATTGATTCCTTTCAGCAAATCCAAGCTGTGTTTTCAGATATCAGATGACCAAATGGTCCCAAATTTTACCCAGACTGATCTTCATAACGTTTGTGTTGGTTTCATTTAGGAGAGCGAGGTGGTTGATGTCACCAGAGATCAACAGGGCCTGAACACTGAACAGGTGAGGAAGTATAACAACTTTTTCTTTCTCATTTCTTCTCAGGAAACTTTTTCTTCCTTGTAAAACTACTTTCTCTTTCACCCTTTTCACATAGTATGCATATCATTTTTCCGGCCCCCTCCCCTACCGTCATTAGAAAGCATTGTGTGTTCCCATGAATGCCATTGGCTGTTTATTTTGGCGGCCTCAGCTACTTGTGTTTTTATGCATATGTCTGTGTGTGTTTTTTTTTTTGTGTGTGTGTGTGGTGGGGCAGAGGGGGGGGGTTAAGGGGTTAATTGGAGGCTTCAGGCTGTTTTTTAAGAAATGAATTCTGGCTGTGACTCTGCTGCCCCTCATACAAACACTCTTCTCACATATCAGCCAATTACTGACACTCCACACACACCTCTCTCTCTCTCTTATTATATTGCTCTTCTTTTATTTGAACTCCTTGATGTCGTTCAGGCAGCTGTCAGGGAACTGAAGCTTTAAAATGCAAAAACAGCCAACATTGTATTCTTCTAACACTGTGGTAAGGGAGTGATAAGACGCTTTACACTGGGCTAAATCGCAGGTTTCAAGACAAAGAAACAAAGTGCAATAAGTACAATTACCCAAACTTACTCACGTAAACTAAACCTAAAACAAACTCTGCTTACTAAACAAACCCTCAAACAACCATTTAAAGAAGTTTGGACCGTTATAATAAGGCCATACTTCCAAATATGTCCTCACTTCATGGTCTAAAACCTACATTGGTCGTCACAGAGATAGTAGTGCACATACACAGGGACTATATTTAATGTAGGACGGGGATTTACGAAGTTAAGCTTCGAGTTATGTAGATGTCAACTTCAAGTGGATGAGGGATTACAGTAAAACCTTTGTTTAGACACAAACACACCTTAGAGGTCTTCAGGCCAGATCCACCAGAACCTCAACGACGTGTCCCAACCTGAACTGATCTTTCATCCACATTTTCTCATCAACCTTGTTTCTGGGTGGCATCCAGCATTGTTCTGGGTCTAATATTTGATGCCACAGGACCCGAGAAAAGGATGCTTTCTCTGTTCACCTGGTGGCAGCCATTTTAGCTACTGAGGTGTTTCCCAGTGGAAGCCAATAGGGTTGGACGATAGGACGAATATATCGGCAAATATATGGGTTTTTTGGCAGATTTTTTTCATTTTATTTTGCAAACTTAATGGTATAATACATTTTTTCATATCTAACTGCGGTGAATTAAGGGTTTATTTCGGCTAGTTTGACGACAGGGAATATAGTAACAAGGTGATTCATAGTGGCTTTAACCAGGACACTCAATATATTCACACTCGCACATGTGAATGTATCTGCAATCGTTGGTTGGTAAGCTTCCCTGTATAGGTACTTGTGTGTGTGTGTGTGTGTGTGTGTGTATATATATATATATAATTTAAAAAGGTAAAAACTCCCCCGAATGAAATGCATGAAAGTTTCTGATCCCCTTTTTATATCGACCTTTGTCACCACACACTATAATTAACCATTTGGTCTGCTGTTGGTTTGATATTACTAGCTTTTTGTCTTCCTCTTTTGTTGAGGAGTAAGTCCCCACCCAATCTCACCACTTGATGTGGTCATGTTTTGGTGTGCTGAACTCCTGACCACACCCAGCTTTGATGTAGCTTGGTACACAGCGCCACAGAACATCACGCCTATACAGGGTGTCTGAAAAACACGTCATCACCTCTATATGGCGGGGCAAGCCATGTTATTAGACTGATTGAAGTTACTCTTTAAGTAGGTTGTTCTCCATTTTGTACTCCCATGGCTGCACCATTCCATCAAATGGAGACACTGCATCATTTTAGATTGAATTAGATTCAATTTAACCAGATATATTTTCGTTTAAAATGAAAAGACACTGCATCTGAAGGCTGTCTGGCTGGATAGTATGAGTTTGTACTGACTGATCGATTGCGAGTCAGTCAGGTTTAAGAGATGTTATAAAAGTGTTGCTTTTTGAACAGGAGGCTACTGAATTTCACCCAGATTAAGTCAGCCACCGTTACAGTATTTTTGCACATAAGTTGTTGAAGTTCATGATGGAGAGTCTCCGCTTTTCGAGACTTAAGCATCGTAATTTAATAATGTTTATGCCAAGAAGGCTTTTGTCATGAAGAAGTCATTTGGCATGTTGCATCAGTACACTAATGGCCTTTCTTTACATTATGTGCTTGATGTGGAGAGACATTAAACTGCTGTTATGCTGAATGACACATTTAACTCCATTTGGGTTTTGGTCCATCTTCAGTTTGGGTCCTTTAGTTTGTTGTTGGGGGCATGTGAAGACTTCCACCACCCACACATGAAGATAGAGTATGCTCAAACAGATTACCTGTCACAGTAATGGCTGTAATACCTTGGTCTCTGTTACTGCCTGCAGCCTTCCTGCAAGGTTATTCTGGCCTTTTAAGGCTGTTTCTTTCTCAGTTCATAACCCCAAAGGAGTAAACATGGTTTTCTGTCTCAGAGGTTTTTAAACCCTGCAGAGAATCAGTCCAGTTTTTGGGGATAAAAACACTGAATATTACTAAAATAGTTCATATTAAAGTTTAAACATATCAATTAGTGCAATACTTTATCAGCAGTTTCAGTCCAAATATATTGCTGTGACCCTTCAGAAACTCATACTCGACCAAAATTAAACCGTCCAGTGTGACCGGTTGATTTAAATGGTTGTCTGATCTGAATGACTGGTTTCTATGATCTGCTTCTGTCTTCTGCCAACTCACATTAAAGCGTGTCACTGCAGAGTGTGTGTGTGTGTGTGTGCGCCTTTCCTACACTTCCCCTTCTGTCTTCCATCCATCACTGTTTCCCTCTTGCCTTCATGTTCTCAATATCTCATTCCCCTCTGTTGTGTTCTCCACTGTGGGTTTTTTAAATAGTTCTTGTTCCCATAAACTGCTCCATTTTCTCAGCCTTCCATGGGAGCTTGTACCTTGTCACTCCCTCAAACCTTATGAAAGCAAATACAAGCTGTGTGTGTGGGTGAGTTTTAAGAAATCAGTTTCTCAGGGTCAAATCATTCATCCCTCCTTCATATTTGAGGTGTACCAACTACGAGTGATAAGTCCTGCTCAGCTCAGGTTTGTTCTTTTTTTTTTATGGTTTGCTTTTGATTTTCATCAGCAGCAGCTTTCCGCCTGAACAAATAGTACAAACCGCAGTTATATATAAGATCAGATATGATCTTTTGTCTACATTCATCCACTAACCTCAACTGTAATTACAACTCTCATCTAGAAATCTGAAATCTAATCCCAAAACTTAACCAAAAAACCATATATATATATAAACTAGCAGGGCTGCAGAGAGTTTAAACTTAGACTCAAATCAGACTTCAATTGCAAGAATGAGGACTTAACAATCTATTGGGACCTGACTGCCCCACGACTTGACTCTGTAAAGACTTAAGTTGACTTAACTCGAGACTTTAGAGTGAAAACGGGTTTTGATAAAACCAAACAATAAAAAAGAAACAATAGAAAAGAAAGACGGTGCTCGACGGACCTTCTGTATCCGCATAGTATTAAATTTAGGCTGATGCATTCAAATGACACGGTCTCGGCTATGTGAACAATTCAGGTACACGAAAGACTTGCAACGGACTTTCATTTGATCAAAATATTAAAAATAGTTGCTGGTTAATTAATCGATGAATCTACTAATCGATGAATCAACTAATTGTTTCATCTCTACTTTAGACTTGGCTTGAACTGACACTTGAAACTTGCCTCAGGACTTGTTCTGGTTCTGGTTCTGGTTCTGACTTGGACTTGGTGTTGACCGACTTGGGATGTGACCTGAGACTTGCGTATGACTCGAGAATCTGATCCGTCACATGGTCTTGTTTCTCTTGAGTTACTCTGATAAAATGTTGGAATAAATGTGAGGAAAAACCTTTTTTTTAAAAATTTCTTTAAGTATTTAACAACGTCATTAATTAGAAACGACTTCGTCGACGCTCACTGAGCAACACTGTTTGTTCTTAAAATATTGAACATCGGTAGAAAACACAAGGTCTCAGCAGATTCAGTCCAAAAAATATCGATACTGACCCCTCTCAAAGCCACATCAGTCAAACTCGAGTGAATGATTAATATCACCATGGGTTCAGTAAACACAGTTTTGTTGTGTGAATATGGGAGAGTGCTTTCATCAAGTCGGCTCTTTTTCACTTTTCTGTTAATCTTTCTCTTCACTTCATCACATACCTCATCATTTCTGCTGCTGCACTTTTTACACATGATCGAGGCACTGTGTGTGTGTGTGTGTGTGTGTGTGTGTGTGTGTGTGTGTGTGTGTCTGGCTGTCTGACTGTTGTGTTTGGATGTAGTCCCAGAACTGTATCACTGCATGAAATGTGAGGTGCGTGGGTTTGACTGGACTCCATTTTTGTCTACACACACACACACACAAACACACACAGATGGCCAACATCTCAGACCTGCCAAATCTCAGTGTGTGTCCGTCTTTGTCATTATATATGACTATAATCGACTCATTTATCCATACCCTTAATGAGAGAGAGAGAGAGAGAGAGAGAGAGAGAGACACACACACCTGACTCATGATAACTGAAATGTGGAGGAACATTGCACAAAAAAAGCCGTAAGCAATGGAAAGCACAAATTTAAAAATCGATGGAAGAAAGCCAAAAAGGATGAAAGAGCAGCAAAAGAAAAGGGGAAAAAACTGCACAATAGAACAAAAGTGGAAAGAAACGGAGAGTGAAGGAAGGAAAACTTAGTGAAAGGGAGGGAGAAAGCAGGCAAAGTTGATGACTTGGATCAGACTTTTATCAGCTGCCAACTTGGTACTGTGGCGTGTTTATGTGTGTGTGGTGCGATTGAATAGTTTCAGGAGCGTTGCCAGTATTTTAGTGTGTGTGAGTGTGTGCTGTTGTGTGTTTGGAGGGCGTGGGTGAATGGATGCTCATGTGTGGTTTTTAGTATTTTCTTTTCTGTGTT